ACAATAAAGATGAAGGTTAAACAGTTCATGTTGACTATGAATTGGGGAAATGGAAAAAAGCAGCCAGGTAGATATAAATTCAGTGGTCTCACTGTAAGACAGACCTAAGAAAGACTGGATTTACCATCTCCAATTGTTTCTGCCTCATTGCAGTTACTGGGTCTAGTGGACCACCACCAATTACCACTGTATATGTTTATGAAATAGAAGGTGAGTTTTATACTATAAACTCATAATGCTATCATGACTGACGGTTTAGAAGTTCCAATGCTTTTCATATATCTGATGCATCAGAGATTAGCAGTTACGACATATACATATTTGATCAGGGTGAATTTTCTTTATTTATCTCTTCTACTAGATTATTGGTTCCTTGACACTGTTCTATGTGCTGTTTTATGTTCCTACAAGGCCTAAATGTAAATAATTAGTCAATAAATATTTGTTAAAGGAGCCATCCCTTTAGAGGTTTTCTAAACTTATGACTCTATAAATGGCTCACAATAGGTTTTCAAGAACAGTAAGTGAAAGTGATTTTAAAATACATATGTAGGATCTGGCACTACATAACTGTGAGGTATCAGCTACCAAATTTGGAAATAATGTGATTTGTCTACGCACCATTCAAAACACTGTGTTCCCCATGCAAAGCACCGACTCCGCCTGGCACCATACATTGGCCTCATTCTCTTACCAGCCCATTTTTCAGCAAAGGGCAGTAGACTTGGCTATCAACTGTACCAAGTTGTATAACTTATAATCTCTACCACTTGACAGGAGCTGACGCATGCTCACCCTCAAGTTGGAGAAATACTGATGAAATTTTTGGTTTACCAGTTTCAGATAGGTGAACTAAAGCAAATAATTTAACCTCATAAGCCTCAAGGCTCTGAGAGGGGTGAGCTCATATCAGAATATGGAAGCTTCTTCTGAATCACTAACTGGAGTATGTAGAAGAGGTATTTCTAAAAGAAGTGACAATCCTGAGATGACTAAAAATCTGATGCCCATCATCTCCAGTAATAAATGAAAAAAAGAAAATAACTGTATTCTTTTCTATTAATGAAAGTCAGATAGCTTGAAAAGAAAAAGTCAGCACTGTTGGGATACCGTATTACTCTACCTTCACATATTAAAAAGTTCATGTTTTCGCAAATGACTTTTAATAAAGAAATTAAAATACCTTCTTTCCCTTTTTGTATTTTTAGGCAACAAAGTCATTGATTCACTGACAGTCCATGGCAATTGCCTCGTCACACACAGCCATTGCAGTAGTTCTAGCTTTCTGACAGCAGAATCAGGGCAAGATGAATTGACTTTAACATTTTTGTTAAAAATAAAAAGTCCCACAAACCTGGCCCATCATTTCCAACTGGCAAGAATATAAATAGCTGATGTACTTTATTATGCATAAAGCCAAACAAAGGCCAAAAAGATGTTGTCCAAAGGTGATTAGAATGTGTGTGTTTATAGGATCAAGATGTGGCCGCCCTCTGGCTCAGGGTCCATCTGACTTGGTCTGTTTATAAATAGAATTCCAAAGTGAATGAACCCACTTCCTGTTAGTCTCCCTCAATCTCATATTTTTTCCTCTGAAGTATAAATTTTATGTCTTGCACTATTTGGAAGGAGAAAACGCTGTTTGTCATTTATCAAAATCTAAATAGCTGCAATCCAACAATGTTCATTTAATTTTAATAGTATGTAAATAAATGTGAGCAATGATTATATTATAGAAACATGTGGATCTAAAGTTCTAATTCAATGAGTTTTACTTCACAAGGTTTCAGATTTTCTTAAGCTCCTTTCTGGCTTCCCAAGATTGCTAGATTAGAATGGACTGCATATTCTGTAGAAATAGTTTCCTAACTAACTCCCAATACATAGCACTAAGCCTGTTTAGATATGAAGATATTTTTTTTTCTCTTGAAAATTCAAAACAATTTACTTTGAGAGAAAGAGTGAGTGATTTGAAAATATGCTGGCTTGAAAACCATGGAGCAATTAAAGACATCATTATGCTTTCTGGATCAGGTGTAAAATGGACAGGAAAAACATGTGCATTTCTCTGTAATTCCATCCATGTGACTCATGCTTAGCCCACAGTAACTGCATACCTAAGACTTGCTTCACTATTTAGCCAGTCATTTCAATGTACTTGTACTTTGGATCAAACTTTGGAGCATTTCAGAGTTTTATAGACTCTAGGTGATTAAGGCTATCTAATGTACATCCTTCAAAAAGGAAAGGTCGTCTACCTTTGGACACTTGAAAGGTGTTGCAGTAAATTATGTGGTGAAACAGCTTGAATTAAGTAATTGTCTTTTATAACTAACCTAACATTTAACTTTATTGAAAGACAATTTGAAAATTAAAGTTCTGGTTTTCTGTTGAAGCATATGTAAAATTTCCAGACTGTAGAACATGGAGGAAGAATCCAATCATAGCCTAGTGGTTTTCCTATACTGGGGAGACAGAATTTGGAGTTCAGTAGGTAGTTAGAATATGCAAGGCAGAGTCCCAAAGAGTAAAGAGGTCACAGATAAACAAAAACCTCAAAGACCTTACAGAGGGTAAAGCTCAAGTCTTTGCCTGAGTACGGTCTTGTAAATGCATGTGGGGAAACTAAGGGGAGTCACTAGAAAGAAGTAGATGAAATAATTCCCATGGCTGATGCAAAGCTGGGACCCATTTATTTTTCCAACACCCAGAGACTAAGCATCTTCTAACACACAGGGCATTGAGCAGTGGAAGTGGAAGTGTTAGTTGCTCAGTGGTGATCCCATGAGCTGTAGCCTTCCAGGTTCCTTTGTCCATGGGATTCTCCAGGCAAGAATACTGGAGTGGGTGACCATTACCTTCTCCAGGGGATCTTCCCAACCCAGGGATCAAACCCAGGTATCCTGCACTGCAGGTGGATTCTTTACTGTCTGAGTCAACATGGAAGCCCATCCTAGTGACAGATAATCGGGCTTAAGGTAAAGTCTGTTCTGGACCCACCCCAATAAACCTCAAAACCAAGAATCAAACTGATTCCAAGTAATTTCATCTCAGAACAAAATGCCCAAATATTTGACAAATGCAAAAATTTTAAAAATAGATATAAAATATATTACAACTCATAAATACATTCACATGCTGATGAAGGTAGAAGAAAGTGGAAGAATGATGAGAAATGTTAGATAAAAGAAGACCCAAATCAAATTTCTAGAGATGGAAGATATACTATCTGAGATAAAAATTCACTGAAAAGCATTAACATGAGATTGGATTTTCCAGAAGAAAAATCAGTAAATGTGAAGACAGAACAATAGAAACTACCCAAACTAGAATACACAGAGGGAAAAAATGAACAAACATCAATGAGCTCTGGGATGACAGCAAGTGACATCCCCAGAAGGAGAGGAGAGGGTGCAGGAGCAGGAAAAGTATTTGAAAATATAATGGTTGCTGATTTTCCAAGTGGAATGTAATCTGTATCACAGATCCAAGAAAAGCAACAGATTCCAAGCAGAATAAACATAAGAAAAGTACACCTAAGCACATCATAATAAACTGCTGAAAAACTGATGAAATGGAAAAAATCTTAAAGGCAACCAGAGGAAAACAAGAAACACTACAGAAGAACAAAAATAAGAATAAAAACAGAGCTAGCTAGAAACAGTGCAGACTAGAAGACAGTGGAGCAACATCCTTAGAAAGTCTCGCAAAGTAAAAACCTTTTGCCTTGAGCCTTCTTTTCTGTCTTAAGGAAGCATGAGGAAGTGATATCAGCAACACTATCAACCTGACACCATGAGGCAATAGCTTGGGTACCGAAATGAAGACTGCTCTAAGAATGGCAGAGTAGAAGGACAGAGCTTGGTCTGATCCATTTTTGAGTTGCCAAATTCTTCTTGAAACCTGTTTATTCTGGATTATGTATTAACTAAGTAAGAAACATACTTATGTTTTAAGCCTCAGGTCACCAAGTGCATATTACATGCAGCCAAATGAAAACTACGGTCTTGGGGCTTTCATCTCCACTAGGAAGAAAAACGTCATTTGGCAGAAGTTCCCTCACCTGGCCTCTTCGCTGTCTCTGTCACTGGGCTCCAGTACATAGCTTTGCCTCTAGTCTTAGGGAAATAACTCTTTATTATTTTTAAACCATGGCAAAGACTTCCATTTGGGCTCTGTGTCTCTTTTCTTTCAATTTCTCCAGGAACTTGTGTCTTCTAGTATTTCCAGCAACTATCTTTTCATTCTTTTATTAATGTTTCCTCTGCTTAATTCAGTTGACTCCTCATTGGGTAGATTCATTGTTTTCTCTTTGGCACTTCAAATTAGAGGTTGAGGCTTGTTGTTCTGTACTTCCCTAAATTATTCATTATAATGATTAAAATTATGAGAGATCAGTTTTTACAGGAAAGGAGAAAGAGAATACCAGGAATTGAATTCTGGGCAATAGCCATAGCCAGAGAATAGAAGAAAGTTATGTTCTTGACAACAGTGGAAGGGAGTTAGAGACATGGGGAAGATTCAGAATAATATATGTTATGAAAGTCAATGTTGCAGAGTTTTAAATGAAAAATTGCATATTGTAAAAGTTAAGGAGAATGCATGTGGAGGAAAAGGAAGGAAGGCAGGTAATTTCCAGATCTGTATCTCCAGCCCCCTAATCTCTCACAAATTCTAGTGTCTTATCTCCAGTTGCATTCTAGACAATCATTACTCTAGTCAATTTATCTAAAAGCCAATTCATCCTTAACTCCAATCCAGGTCCCCTTCCTTATTTACTACACCTATTGATGGTATTACTATTGTACCAGTCACCAAACTTGAAATTTTAAATTCACCTTCAACTATTCTTCTCTATCCTTTACTTAAAAGCATCCATAAGTTATAATCAAATCTTACTGTGGACACTATCACCTTACTTTAGATCTTTATCTTCTACTTTAAAAATTCAATAGTTCCCACCCCCAGGTGGTGACCGCGGCAGAGGTGGCCCTGGAGGCATGCGGGGAGGAAGAGGTGGCCTCATGGACCGCGGTGGTCCTGGTGGAATGTTCAGAGGCGGCCGTGGTGGAGACAGAGGTGGCTTCCGCGGCGGCCGGGGCATGGACCGTGGTGGCTTTGGTGGTGGAAGACGAGGTGGCCCTGGGGGGCCCCCTGGACCACTGATGGAACAGATGGGAGGACGGCGAGGCGGGCGAGGAGGACCTGGAAAGATGGATAAAGGCGAGCACCGTCAGGAGCGCAGAGACCGGCCCTACTAGACGCAGAGACCCGCAGAGCTGCATTGACTACCAGATTTATTTTTTAAACCAGAAAATGTTTTAAATTTATAATTCCATATTTATAATGTTGGCCACAACAATATGATTATTCCTTGTCTGTACTTTAGTATTTTTCACCATTTGTGAAGAAACATTAAAACAAGTTAAATGGTAAAAAAAAAAAAAAAAATTCAATAGTTTTCACCTCCAACCTTCAAATCCCTCTTCTTCCAATGAATTTACAGCTATACTCCATTAGAAACATATTGCTAAAGCATTCTTGCCCTCAGATTACATTTAAAATGAATTCATATTGCCTGCTCGATTTCGGAATCTGAAAGAAGCTTTTAAGAAGCTAAAGCCTGGCACAACAGGAAGCTTCCAGAAACCTATTAGAGGCCTAAGATTGTTAAGCATTTTGCATACAGCACCTGCAGGAACAATTAATTACAAGTGTGATTGGACTGTTAGCCATGGGTAATAAAGGTGAAGCTTGATTTTATCAACTTTACATAATTATTTTAAAAGGGGTTTCTTGATTTCTGGCATTTATGTTATCAATGGACTTCTTAATCTTAGTAAACATTCTTAATTTAATAGTAAACATTCAAGTAGCCTTCCTTCCAATGCAGAACCATAACTGCCAAATCAAGCTCTATATATGTGAACCAAATTGATGTTTAAAAGTCCATGATCAGATGGGCTTTTACCACTTTCAGTTTTGTGGTTTGATCCCCTATTTCTTCCTAATGTACAGTTCAGTTCAGTTCAATCACTCAGTCATGTCCGACTCTTTGCAACCCCATGGACTGCAGCATGCCAGGCCTCCCTGTCCATCACCAACTCGCAGAGTTTACTCAAACTCATGTCCATTGAGTCGGTGATGCCATCCAACCATCTCATCCTCTGTCAGCCCCTTCTCCTCCCACCTTTGATCTTTGCCAGCATGAGGGTCTTTTCCAATGAGTCAGTTCTTCACAACAAGTGGCCAAAGTATTAGAGTTCCAGCTTCAGCATCAGCCCTTCCAATGAACATTCAGGACTGATCTCCTTTAGGATGGACTGGTTGGATCTCCTTGTAGTCCAAGGGACTCTCAAGAGTCTTCTCCAACACCACAATTCAAAAGCATCAATTCTTTGGTGCTCAGCTTTCTTTATAGTCTAACTCTCACATCCATACCTGACCACTGGAAAAACCATAGCTTTGACTAGACGGACCTCGGTTAGCAAAGTAATCTCTGCTTTTTAATATGCTGTCTAGGTTGGTCATAACTTTTCTTCCAAGGAGCGAGCGTCTTTTAATTTCATGGCTGCAATCACCATCTGCAGTAATTTCCAAGCCCCCCAAAATAAATCTGTCAGTAGTAAGTGTATAGAAGTAAGTGTAAAATCTAATTTTTCTTCATTTTTCCTTTGTTTCTATGATATGATCTCCATAGACCATATAAGCTGTAAAAATGAGTAAAGGACACTATTAATTGCGTATATATAAGATTTAGGTTTAATTAACAAAATGTTAACCAAAGTCCTCTAGTCCAATTGCATTAGTTGCACTCTAAAATGACAACAAATATGCTAGTGTGTCTAACATGAACATGTATGCAAAGCATGTATTTTTCCACTTTAGACTGAGATCACAGCCTTTGACTAGCTCAGATCAAAAAGACATGCTCCCCATGTCCCACTGTCAAGGACAGAAAAGGATTGCTCCAAGGCTTTCTAAGTGTGTCATCAAAATAATATTTATGGCCTCTGATCCTGGAGTTCATTCTGATTTTATTGATTTTGTTTGTATTTTCTAAAACCATTCTTTTTCCTCTTATAAATAGTAACAATTTTATACTCATAACACAATTGAATTTCTAGGGCTGTTTCTAGGCTCAGAAGTTAGTTTGTATGGCATGATGACAGATTTGTTTCAAGAGTAGACAATTTAGAATAACAGGAATAGTGGATTTGGAGTTTAGAGTCCTGCGCCTTTCTTAGAGCTCTGTAAGTAATCAACATTCTGATATACACTGATATTTTTCCAGTTGCACAAAATAATTTGCAATAGTTGATAAAATGGGACTCCATTTCTAAGGATTTCTTTTGTTAGTAGCACTAGATTGGAGACCAGAGATTTGTATATTAAGCAAGTTCCCCAGGAATTGAGACTAATATTCTTCTAACTACACAGCGCGAATCACTGCCTTAGACAAGTCAACTCCTCTGGACTTCAGTTTCCACATCTGTAAAATGACAGAGCTGGATTAGATGACAGTTGGGGATACTGTCAGCTCTTAACATATTATGAATCAGTTGAAGTGTTTCCTATTTTTAGCAATACAAACTTGATCAGTTCAACATGGGTGGCACTCAAATGACCAGACATCTCTTCTTTTGTTAGTATATTGCCTAAAGGAATATTTTTTCTCTTTATATACCTACTGTTATCTTTTTTTACATCTACATCACCTCAAAGTCATTTCATGACTAATCCCAACAGTTGCCCATCACAGAATTTGACCAGAGAAGAGGCAATGGAGACCATCAAATATGGCTACATCCCTCAATAAAATCCCAAACAGATGGTCATCCAGCCACTGTTTCTTTACTTCCATCATTGGGAACTCACTATGTTGAAACATGAAAATATCTTCCTTATCGTAAATGAAAATCTTTCTCATTAGAGGTTCTATCCATATGTCCTAGCTCTTATCTATGGTTCTTTATAGAATAAGCATAAGCATTCTTTACCCTCGCAACGAGCATTTGAATACTATAGTCTTCACTCCACATGCAGTTTCAACTCTTCTTACAAACAGTTTATGTTTAGCCGTCCTTCAGGGAATCTCTTCTAAGGTATGTGCCCAGCTATGGTCTTGTTAGGACATGTCAAACTAAGGGAAGCAGGGCACATTTAAAACTTGTATGACTGAAAGAAAGAAATATCTCCCTTATAAATTGTTTGAGATTAGCCTAATGCTCATTCAGATCCATATACTTATCTGCTTCCCTCCTGGAAGCCCTAGAAAATGTTCATATTACTCCGAAGGTCATATGTGTTTTCATTGTCTCTACTGACCAAAGGGCTCAGTGCATCCGCTGATCCAGGTTTCTCTTGTTGCTCATAAGCATTACCACCTCAGCCCTACCACAATTCTTCCTTCCTTCCAAGGGACTTTCCTCTTGCCAGTGAGACAATTGAGATTGCTGAACCTAGTCAGTGACTTTTTCTACCCCAAGAGGAAATAGAAGTTGATCAATAATTTTTTTTCTTCTTTCCTCCATCACCACAACCAGATACCAAAAATTAAGGAATATTATCTTCAGGGGAACAACAAAAAGCTTACAGCTGTTGTTTTAACATAAACAGTGGGGGACAAAAAGCAATGGAATGGAAATTTTAGAGCATTGAAAGGGGGAAAAAAGCTGTCAGACAGGAATTATATATATAGAAAAATATTCTTTAAAAATAATGGCTAAATTTTCAGACATGAAAAGATGAGAATAATTGTTGCCAAAAGAACTGTACTACAAGACATGCTAAATGGATAGGCATCAGAATGAAAGGAAATTATCCCAGATGGAAGCATGGAATTGCAGAAAGATTCAAACAGAACCAAAAACAGTAAATGCATAGGTAAATACGAAATAAAAGTTTTTATTTTGTAAGAAAGAGTGTTTAAAGCAAAAGTAATAATGTTATATGGAATTTATAGTATATATAAAATTAAACTACATGAGAACAATAGCAAAAAGAGAAGGTGGGGCTGAAAGCTTCTTACATTACTTGTGAAGTGGTAAAATTTTAATTCAAGATTTTATTAAATCAAGGATATATACTCTAGTATATAGCATAAATGATAAAATGAAACACAAAACTGTGTTAAAAAGCTAACAAAACATATAAAATAAAATAATAGGGGCTTCCCTGGTGGCTCAGTAGTAAAGAATCTGCCTGCCAATGAAGGAGACACAGGTTCTATCCCTGCTCTGGGAAAATCCCACTTGGCTCAGGGCAACTAAGCCAGTGCACCACAATTACCAAGCCTCTGCTCTAGAGCCTGTGAGCTGCAAGTACTGAGGCCCATGCTACAACCACTGAACCCCAAGAGGCCCTAGAGCCCCACGCTGTAAAAGGGAAGCCACTGCAGTGAGACACCGTCACACCACAGCGAAGAGCAGCCCTGCTCTCAGCACCTAAAGAAAAACCCACACAGCAGCGAAGACCCAGCACAGCAAAAAAAAGAAGAAGAAACACACTTAAAATAATAATTCGAGAGAGGGCATGAGAGAAGTAACAAAGCGATCGAGCAAGATTGGAAAAATAGAAAACACAAAACAGTCGCTTTAAATCCAACCATACCAGGAATCACATTCTACATCAAACAAAGAAGCCTAAATACTCCAACTAAAAGATGGAGCTTATACAACAAGGACCTGTTGTATAGCACATGGAACTCTGTCCGTGTTACGTGGCAGTCTGGATGGGAGGGTTGGGGGAGAATGGAGATATATATGGCTGAATCCCTTAGCTGTTCATCTGAAACTATCACGACATTGTTAATCAGCTATACCCAAATACAAAATAAAAAGTTTAAAAAATAAAAAAGATGGAGGTTTAGAATGGATATTTTTAAAATCCATGATTCAATATGTGTCATCCACAAAGGATGCATTCCCATGTAAGAAGGATACAGATAGAAGGAAAATGAAAAGATGGAAGAAGTTATACCATAAAGGCAAAAATACTGAAGAGAGATATTTTACAATGATAACAGGCTCAGTTTCTCACGAAGATATGACAAGGCTAAATGTTTGTGCAGCTAATAACATAGCTTAACATATGACACAATACTGACCAATCTAGAAGGAAAAACAGACTAGTCCACCATCACAGTTGGAGATTTTCACACACCTCCCTCAATCAGAGATGAAGCAAGCTATTTAAAATAGCAATGTATAAATGATTTGAAAACCTCTATTACCCAACTTGACCTAATTAATATTCAAAT